AAAAACCAGTCAGGACTGGGATTTGAACCGTTGTCCACCGTGTGGGACCTGGCTCCCTCTGCATAGTGCTTACCTGCGTTGCTACAGCACCAGCCCATACAGCTTTGCTAGATGTTTTTCCTGTGCTGGGCGTTGAGGTCAAAACTTCTACTTCTGCTGGGGCTGGCAGGTGGCATGGTGGTTAAAGGCACTGGACTCTCACATGGCTGACCATGGTTTAAGTCCCAGACCTGGCGGCTTGCTTTCTCGCTTTTTCTTCCTTCTCTGTCTCACTCTGTTCAAATTAAAAATGACAATAATGATAAATAAAATAAATTCTTAAAAACAAAAACACCTTCTACTTCTGGGGCCAACAGATAGGGTAGTGGTTAAGGTGCCGGACTGCCACATGGCCAACTGTGGCTTGAGTCTCGGACCCAGCAGTTTGAAACTCACACTGGGTGCGTGTGCATGCATGCCCAAAATCCCGAGAGGGGAATGGAAGGGAAGGGATTGTGGCGTGGCCAGCCCCCCCTAGCGAGGAGAGGATTTCTCACTTTTCCTTTCACCATCTCTGTCTCTCTCTCTGGAGAACTCACGTGCCCTAAGGCAAAAGCTTCTTAAAAAAATAAATAAAACCAAGCTTAGCATTCATAGAGCTCTTGAAGTTCACACGCCACTCTCAGCAGACAGCAGTGTGTTCGGTTTATCAGGGAGACAGACTGAGGGGAATGGGGCAGGCCTGGAGCACCCCAGAAGGTAGCGGCCGGACACGGGGCCTCCGTGGGGCAGCGGGGCAGGGGAGGCTGCAGGACCATGGGGCTGGCAGCCCCTTCACATGGGGTGGGGCAGCCCTGACAGCCTACAGCCCCGCTGTGCTGGCGCTGAACGACCTGCTGAAGCAGCAGCTGAGCCTGACGCAGCAGTTCATCCAGAGCAGCCGCCACCTGCACGTCGCCCTGCTGCAGTCCCTGGATGGAGAAGCGTTCCACTACCACACCCTGGAGGAGGCCAAAGAGGTGACACAGCCCCGAGCCACATCTTCCCCGAGGGGCATAGGGGGGCACCTCCGATGCCAGCCAGGGGCGAGACGCTGGAGCACAGGGGGACTCGGGTAACAGGGCCAAGGCTGCAGGGACGTGGGGCTGTCACTCTTGTCCTGGCGGGAGGAGCTTCATTTTCTCCCCGTCCTAGGACAAGAGGGGGTGGGGTCAGCGCGGGGCTCAGTGGGACCTACTCTAGGCTGTCCCCTCTGGGAGGGTCTTGTCCCTTTCAGAGACCCTGGGGCTGGAGGCAGTGCCGGGAGAGGGGCGCTTTCTGGGTCCCCTGGGCTGAATGACACTTGGGGGGAAACAGCTCTCATTCCCCTTCCCCCAACATTTTTGTCTGATTATGAAATCATGTGCTTACTTTATGACCTTTTAAAAGGAAGCTTCTTTTAAATGTAACTTTATTTTGACCAGAGAGACATAGTGAGAGACAGAGAGAAAGAGAGAAAGCAAGCCACCAGGTCCGGGACTCAAACCACGGTCAGCTGTGTGGCAGTCCAGCGCCTTAACCACCACGTCCCCCGCCAGACCCTATTTTATGATTTCTTTTTTTTAATTGCTGAGGGCACATGTGCTCCCCAGAGAGAGAAGGAAAAAGCACCCCCCATGGGGTGTGGCCACACCACAGTCCTTCGTGTCGCTGCCCTGTCAGGATTTGGGGCACACACCCAGGCCTGGTATTTCTCCAGCCACTGGGGCCAGGCCTCAAACTGCAGTCAGCCATGTGGGATCCGGCTCCCTTAGCCACGGGGCCACAGGGCCAGCCCAGACGGTTTTTTTTGTTTTGTTTTGTTTTTTTTTGAGAGGTTTTCGTTATACGGCATGTACGCTCGCCAGACAGAGACAGAGAGACAGAAAGCGAGAAATCACCCCCCAGGGGGGATGGTCACACCGCAATCCCTTCTCCTCCATTCTCCTCTCGGGATCTTGGGCACGCATGCACACGCGCCCGGCGCAAGTTTTAAGCCACCGGGTCCAGGACGCGAACCGCGGTCGACTACGTGGGAGTCCAGCGACATAGCCATTACGCTAACTGCTGGTTCCCCCAGCCCAGACTTTGTAAAGAATTTGGTTACAAAGATGTGTAACTTCCAGTCCTGGGTAACTTGACACAATGTACCAAGTTGGTCCAACTTTGCAAATTTGTCCCATGCAAAGTATCAACCACGTCATCTTTTTTTTTTTTTTCCATTTTCTTTTCTTTTCTTTTCCTCCAGAGGGCACATGCATGCTCTCCTGAGAGAGGAAGCACCCCCGAAATGGGGTGCAGTCATGCGAGTCCCTTTCTGTTGCAGGGTGCCTGCCTGGGCAGCTCGTCCCCCTGACTTGCGCACATCCATCCTGCCATGTACTCACTCGGCCCAGCATGAGCTTGGTGGGACAGCTGCCCGTCTCGTCCCCAGTGCCCCGTGGTCTCCTGGCACCTGCCGAGGCAGCAATGGTAAGGCGCCTGTCTGCCCTCTGCCCCACAGTACATTAGGCGGCACAGACCTGCCCCGCTCACCATGGAGGACGCCCTGGAGGAGGTGAGGAAGGAGCTGTGACTCACCAGGAGGGGAGGCCTGGCTTGAGGTCTGATGCGACGAGCCGCCCTGCATCCACGGTCACACACGTCCGTGTCCAGGTGACGTTCTGCGGTGGGACAGGCGACACTGGCCGGGGGGCTGCTCAGTAAGTGGACCGAATAATTGAACTCTGGCTCCTGTCACCCAGGAGGCCGCCGGGAGTGGACAGTGTGCTCGGCATGGGTGAGGACATGGGCCCAGGTCCAGGAAACGGCCCTGTGGAGCAGCTCAGCCGGCCCCAGTGCCCTGTTTGTTACCGAGGACCTGGGACCCAGTCGCATATGAGCCACCAGGGCATGCACCCGAGCCCGGCTCTCGGCCCCGACGCACGTCCGAGGCGAACACGCAGAGGAAGGGGTCTTTAAAAAAAGTCTTTATTTGAAAGCAAAACAGTAAAATCCACAAGAAAGTGTTAACAGCACGTGTTTACATTTTATCCTGAATCAGACACGAGGGGACAAGTCACAGCTACAGGAAATCGAGAACGAAATCAAAGGCTGCATCGGGGTCAAACATCGGGAGGGTTTGGATCTTATGGAAAAAGAACTTTTGCTTTATTATTATTATTTTCAAAAATGTTTCTGTACAAAGAAAGGGCATCGCACCCAGCAGGCTGCCCGGGACTCCGGGTGTGGCTCAGCCTGGCGAGGTGCCCCAGTCACTTAGTGGCATCCGGCAGAGGGCTCCCCTCCCGGCCTCACCCCCTAGGTGGCGGGGCGGGTGGCCGAGTGCCACCCGGTGGATCTGCGCTCAGGACACAAGGGCAGAGATGCCCGAGTACAGATCCCCCACGGGCACCGACCTGGGCCTTTTCGATGCCTTAGACCCGCCTTCCTAGAACCTTTGTGTCTCCCGATACCAAATGGCTAACATCTGACCAAAAAAAAAAAAAAGTATACAACTGAACCAAACTAAGGGCCGGTACATCGGCAAGGGGTTGGGTTTCAGATGATCTCCCTGGGGATCGCCTTCCGTCAGTATTGTTTTCTAAAACTAAACCAATTGGAGTAAAGTAATAATAGTAATAAAAAAAAACGTCCCGAACTTCTGCAAGTCCGGAGTTGGTTTCTCTGTTTTCTGGCACCCGCTGTGGCTCTCCCCTCTGGCCTGCTGGAGGGAGCCACGCGGGGCTGGCCCACACGGGCGAGGGGTGCCACCCCTAGTGTCTGCGTGGGGCATCCCACGCCTCTGGCGACGGCATGTGACGCAGGGAGGAGGCCGAGTCTGCCGGGGCCGAGGGTCCCGTTTCCTGCTTGGCTGTAAGAGGGGCTCGGGCCTGGCCCGCCCTCGCCCTCGCGGCGCGTCAGTCTTCCTTCTCTTCCTGGCGCTCCCCGCGCGTGGAGACTGGGTGAGAACCGAGCTGTCACCACGACCGACCTTGCACCCCAGGCCAGGCTCGTCCCGTCCCGCAGCGGCGCGGCCCCTACTTACACTCCTCCCGGGCCTTCATGCGCGCGATGAAGGAGTAGCTCTTGTTCCTGCGGTAGTTCTCGTAGGGGTCGTCCAGCGCCACGCCCACGCCCTTGTACTGGTCCCACTTGTCCCGCACGTCCCCGCCCTTGATGGGGTCCTGGATCCCTTGTTCCTTCGCCCCGAGACCCCCGGAGCCGCTCCAGCCTTAGGGAGAGAGGCGCGGGGTGAGGCCCCGTCCCCAGGCCCGACCCCGAGCATCCACGGCAGGACGGACGTTACTTGGGGGCGTCGGGGCGCTGAGTGGGCGCGGAGCCGGTCCCGAGACACGCCAGACCGAGGAGGCCCAGCGAGGCCCGGCAGGGGGCGCCCACAGCCCGGGCCTTACCCATCTTCACGAGCATCTGATGTCCTTTGTTCTCCTCCCCCAGCCTCGAGTCAGGAACAGGAGGGGCCGAGTTAGAACCCAGACCAGCTGAGGAGCTGAAACGAGGGCGGGTGACGGGGTTCGAGACCACGATCCGAGTGTGGGGAAGCGAGGGCCCCGGCCGCTCTGTGCCCGACCGCCTCGCCCGGAGAGGACGAGCACCCCCCAGGTCACCCCCCAACGACAGCACCGCCCAGCTACTGCCGGGCTTTAGGGTGACCCCTAACAGGGTGCCGCTGTGGGGGCAGGGGTCTCCGGGCCGCCCGCGTCCAGGACAGCAGAGCACCGGGGGAGCCGGC